TGAGTAGGTCATAGCAGTGCTGTAGGAACCACTACTGCCTGCCAGAGAATGTAGCTGAGGACTATACCCAGTGATGCAACCAGTGAATTTTGGGCTGGCACTGGGTGAACGGGATGGGCTGTAACTCAGCACACTCTGACCCTGGATTGGAGGAGAAGGCGTAGAAGGAGGGATTTTCTTTGCCACCAGCTCTTGTGGAGGAGTTGTTTGTACTGCTGCAGTAAGAAGAAAAGTAAAATCAGTAAGGAAGGAGAAGCAGCCTGGATTCCATTTTTGTCTCAGTTAAGTGTTGTTATTTCTTCACAATACAGGAGACCCTTGCCATTCACAGGGGATATGTTCTCATATCCCCCACGAACAGCGAAATCCGCAAAGAAGGCACTGTGTTCTTGAACTCAGTACTCCTGGCGGCTGGGGGCGGGGGCACGGCTGCTCTGGCGACAGTGGGAGCCTGGCAGTGGCAAGTGCAGAGCTCCCGAGGAGCTCCTTTAAGTGTATTTAAGAAGCGGATTTGGCATTCACGAATATCTGAAACCATGAATGCCAAACCTGCAAATAGTGAGGGTTTCCTGCACTAAGGAACATGGGGCTGGGGGAGGGGCAGCTTCTGGACCAGAGTCCACTTTATAGTGAGACTGGGCCAAAACCCCCATGCAAAAAAACCAAACCAAACCAAACCAAACCAAAAACACCCAACCCCCCTACCCCCCAGCAACAAGATTTAAAAGTTTCACACTTTGCCCCTATGGGGGCAGCAAAGCCCCAACCAAGAAATCAGGGAAAAGGATGGACAGAGTCTGGTAGAGAGACACCTGGGCTAAATTCTGCAGAACTCCCTGCAACACAAAACCTTGGGCAAACACTTCATCTCAGTCAGTTCCCTATCTGCAAAATGTTGATGAAATACTTCTCTTCTGCTCTTTATCACATCTGTTCAGACTGAAAGAATATCCAGTCAGGAACTATGCTACTGAATGTTAGAATACAGTCTAGGTCTACAAGTATCCTGTTTGAGCTGGGGTTTCTAGGCACTTTATAAACAGGGCAGAATATATAAATAGCACCACAAATAATGAGACTGCAGTCAGTCCTTCCCTTTGGCCAACACAGGAGCATTGCTTGTTCTCATCTGCCAGTTCTAATCCTAGGCTTTTAAAACCCTTGTTTTGTGCCTATGAGCAGCAAAAGATATTTTAGATTCCACTTTGTCCGATCCAATTTACAATCTATCTGATATTAAAACCTCTCTACTGTAGGTTACGTTTCTCAAAGAAATGGCAGAACATTTCACTATCAGGAAATTTTCCTTTTTAAGGACATCTTAATAACAATATTTATATGCACTACCTCCAAAAGTTTCAAACACAAGCTGAACATGCTCTCTTTGCAGTTTAGAGAAGTTATACAAATTACATTACTTTTAACTGTATATACTAATTGTTACTATGAAGTCCTTTCAATGTGAAGAGTTCCTTCAGTCAGACTGGAAAACTGGCATTCTGCATTTTCTAAACTTCTCTCATCAGGTTCTTCCAATTTTAGAGGTTTGTTAAGAACCTCAAAAATATTTTATAAAGGAACTGCTTTTTACAGTTTCAGTTTTACACTTTAATATTAAGCTTTCCCTCTGTGGTGGGTATTTTACCTAATGGCAAGTTACCATGATTTAAATCTACTCCCTCCAGCTTCGCACAAATTGTTACCATGCTCTAGATTAGAGTAGGGGGTCAGCAACCTATTAGGAACAGCAGGCGAAATTAATGGCGCTAGATCCAAAGGCAGTCTGCCACATTTGAGCTGGCAGCCACTGCTGTTCCCCTCTGCACCTTACACTGCAGTCACACTGCTGCCACTTCCCCATACATTGCAGCCAACCTCTTGGCTTTGTGGGCTAGATACAATCACCTGACAGTTCAGGCCACAGATTGCCAACCTCTGCCCTACGTCATCTATCACAAAGTTGGAGCATCTTTCATTGTTTGTCTATGCCCCAACACAAACCCACCTCTCCTTTTGCCTTTTTTGCTTCACCCTGATTATTTATAATCCTCCCGTTTGTTGCTAAAACCCTGGCCAGTTGGAAGACACATTATGAATCACTGAAATATATGCATTCGCTTGCAGACATTAGACACACCAATATAAATTAACAGATGTTACGGCAAAAAAGATCATTCGATCAATTAGTCTAACCTCTGCATAATATAGGCTACATATAGTCACTCAGTTATTCCCATTTTGAGTGTACAAACAAGGTATATCAATCTGGAAAGAAATCCATCTCAAGACATCAGGAGATCCACGTCTCCCCCTCACTAGTTTGGTTCCAATGGGTGGTCAGCCTCATTGTTAAAAATGTATCTTATTTCTAGTATGAATTTACCTGGCTTCAATTTCTAGTCATTAGTTCTTGCTAGGCCTTTCTCTGCTAGATAACAGAGAGCCTTTGTACCTAGTATTTTCTTTCCCTGAAGTTACCTATAAGCTAATCAAAGCACTTCTTGACGTTTTGAATCTTCATTCTGTTTCACCTAGTGCACTTTACTGATCATCACAGAGAGGGAAACTAGAACAGCGTTTCAACTTGGCACTTCTGCACTTCAGAGAGTATTTAATGCATCACTTTGTCCTTCTAGCTATCATATGCTTTTGTGAAGCATGTTTTAGAGGACTGTGGTCAGCTGAGATCCACAACCAAGTCTTTTCAGAAGGTCTAACGTTAAGAAACTCACTTGTAGATACCATTGCAAAAAGTAGCTGTTATACCTACACGCATTCTGAAGCCCAAGAAGAGTTTGTTGCCCAGGACTCATAACCAAGTTGGTTGGTGCCACAGTGTATTTGAAATACCTCCAGAAATCGAACAGGGCATTCAGGCTGAACAGAGATGCAAGTGCAAGTTCTGGAACAACATTTAAAAAACCAACGTTATTTGAAAAAAACAGTTCTATCTTTTAGAAAACGCCGTCCATGAAAAAATGTCCTCATTTTATTGACAACGTTTTATGTTCTTTATCAGTTCCATTATTAGGGGCATTACCATGGCAAAAGTTTCACAGTTTCATAGTTGGTCGGGTCAGAAAGACCTGAGCAGATCATCGAGTCCGACCCCCTGTCATGGCAGGAAAGAGTACTGGGGTCAGATGACCCCAGCAAGGTATCTAGCCAGCCTCCTCTTAAAGACCCCCAGGGTAGGAGCGAGCACCACTTCCCTTGGAAGTTGGTTCCAGATTCCAGCCGCCCTGACTGTGAGGTAGTGCATCCTGATATCTAGCCTGAATCTACTGGAAAAGTGCAGGCTCAGGGGCAATCTGGGGGCCACCTATAAGTTTATCGGGGTGACCACCAGTATCTGGGGGAATGTTTGTTCATCAGAGCTCCCCAAGGGATGACAAGGTTGAACGGTTATAAACTACTCCAAGACCGTTTCAGGCTAGACCTAAGGAAGAATTTCTTTACTGTCCGAGCCCCCCAGGTCTGGAACAGCCTGCCATCGGAGGTGGTTCAAGCACCTGCATGGAACACCTTCAAGAGTAAACTGGATGCTTATCTTGCTGGGATCCTATGACCCCAGCTGACTTCCTGCCCTTCGGATGGGTGGCTGGACTTGATGATCTTCCGAGGTCCCTTCCAGCCCTAACGTCTATGAAATCTACTCTCCGTCAACTTATGGCCGTTAGTCCTTGTTACTCTTGGTAGTGCTCGGGGGAACAGGGACTCTCCCATTGCCTGCTGGCCCCCCTTGGCCAGTTACAGATGGCCACCAGATCTCCCCTCAGCCTTCTCTTGTGGAGGCTAAATAGGTTCAGGTCCCATAGCCTCTCCTTGTAGGGCCTGCCTGCTGCCCCCGATCATGCAGGTGGCCCCCTCTGGAACCTCTCCATGTTGTCCACATCCCTCCTGAAGTGCAGTGCCCAGAACTGGATGCAGTACTCTAACTGTGCCCTGACCAATGTCATATAGAGCGGGAAGATCACCTCCTTGGACCTGCTTAAGATGCATCTGTGGATTACTGTGCGTTATTGTGCATTCTGGGTATCATACTTCTCAAACCATACATTTTGTTAAATAGTCTATCACTAATATCTGATTCTCTGCTCCCCTTTTGGATGGCTAATTTATATTTTAATTGTCTTAAGGCAGAAACTTTGTTTTGCTACTCTTGTGAAATACTATCCATACCTATAGTACAATAGCAGCAACACAATTCTAGCCTCTTGCTTCCCAAAAGCTTCATCTCACATCTAACTTAATATTAATTACCAGATTAGCCTTTTCAGATGTAATCTGCCATATTTTTACATGGCACACTAAAGACAATTGATACACGTCCAGTCATCCACCACTTAGGAGTTGGGAAAGAACCCCAGATTATTTTCCATGTCATCAGAGGATCAAAGTCAGGTGTCTATATAACCAAAAAAGCTGGCTAACCCCCCCCCCCCACAACAAATACAGACAGGAAAGCTGAAGATAAAGGGTGAAAATGCAATTTAGATACTGTTCTCCCACACAAGTAAGAAACCACAATGTAATTCCTTACCAATATACCACAGTGGCCAGTAAGTAATGTTATAATATGAGCTTATCAGCTTTCCAGTCCTGAAAGAGAAAAAACAATTGAGATAAAATTTCTTTGAGCCCAAGCACATGGAAATATGTAGGAAGACATAATGATTGCTTTATTTGTTTGCATTAACTGTTGCAACAAACTTACATTTCAGTATAAATCATGCCAGCAACTGATACATTAAGGAGCCCCCAGGCCAAGACCACCTTCCGGGCTTCTGTCTCCCTCCTCATCTTGATGGTTCTGTCAATGAGGGAAGTCGCTGGACTTTGTTCGTTGTTCATCATCTGTAATAAGAGAAGCATAAGGAAAGCCCACATGAGTTTAGCTAAGTATGTAGAGCATCTCCTTCAATACCCAATTAAACAAAAACATGCCTTGGCAAATCACATTTAGGGATTTCCCTTCTAAACACTTACTGGTAAACAGAACTCTATACCTACTTTTTGGGCTAAAAATATCAAATCTTTTTAAAGTGGCCCCTACAGTGAATATTTCCTACTCATTATGGCTGCAGTACGGTGCTACTTTCACCAATTGCTGTAACAGGATAGAGGGCTGGATTTCGATCTCACCCCAGTTAAGAGAGTCATTCTCCACTTGTACTGGGGTAAAACAGCAGAACTGGACTCACGGTATCAAATGCCTACAAATTTGCTTTCCACTTCACAGACTTGCTTTATTCCCCTGTTTTTTAGGGAATAAAGCATGGGGATGTGGGGGAGTCATAAAAATTAAGCAGCAGTTCAGGACACTGGACAGATAGTTTCATAGCCATTAGGGGCTGGACGGGACCTTACAGATCATCAGGTCCAGCCCTGCTCCACATGGGCAGGAAAGACAACAGGGACCAAATGACAGCATCCTTTCATGAGGGAAAGGCAAGGATTTTATATTGCCTAACCCCTGGGAAGTCACAGAAAGGTGAGACCCAGCATGACTAGACTCGCCGGGGGAGGGGGCTGCCAGAAGACAAGG